GATGATGCGACGATTGCAGATGAACATCCGCTGGCCGCCTCGTCTCGCTGCCGCGCTGTGTGCTGCGATCACCCGTGCTGCGTGGGTTGGGAAGTGGGCTCACAGCGTGGCGGAGGTCTGGGGCGCCGTGGCGTTTTGCGGGACCTCCCCACCAGTGGCTCAAGCCTCTTCGCTTCTGGCTCGAGCCTCTGGCTCAAGCCATCTCACGGGCCTGGCTCCCTCGGGCCAGTCTCCCGTGCTCAAGGGGGCACCCGACGCACCGCTGGGCGGGCATCCGCTCCCTCGGACCGCGGATGATTGGTATCCTGAGTTCTTCGGGTGGTGGGCAGATGTGAAGGGGAACTGGAACACACAAATAAATACACACAAATAAACATATCCCACATATTTTCCCATATTTTCTGGGTTTTTGTCTTCCCCCCCACTTCCCATATTTTCCCATATTTCCTGAGAATCGACGATTAATTGTGTCTGTGTGTTTTTTCCCCTCCTGAGTACCTCCTGTACCCAGCGCTGTGTCATGAGTTCTTCGGGTGGTGGGCAGATGATTGGCATCTGGAGCACGGGCGGCGGCGGGTGCGCTGGCGCGGCCAGTCTCATTGTAGGAGACCACCTGGAGATATTTTGTGTGTACACCCTGCGAAATGCTTAAGAAATCATGGGTTAAGAAATTCACAGTCTCAGAACTTGAGTAGAAGCCCAGAATTTCCATCGAAATCTTAGGATTTACATTGAAACATTAAGAATAATCGAGACTCTGGCCGAAAACTTGGGTTTTCTTAAGCATCGCCCAAGGTGTATGGGGTGTGTGTGATTGGAGTCGGCATGTCTTTGGCGATGCGGGTGGTCTTTGGTAGCTAAGGTTGCTAGTTGGTTGCGTGCGGCGGGAAGAGGTGGTGGATTCTTAGCTGGTAAGGCGTTGGGTGGCCGGGGTCGATGACGTAGGGGCAGTGGTCTGGTTAGGCTGGTGTGTTGGCGCAGGGTTGGGGTTGGCGTCCTGCTGCAAGTCCGGCGTGGTTGCCTGTAATAAGGTGTAGAGAGTGGTGAAGAATAGTGGTGCCTTCTTGACAAGTGGTGGCTTGGTGGTTGGGGGTGTGGTTGGTGCTGCTGGTTTGTCGGTAGATATGTTTTCGGTCTGCGTTGCGGGCATGCTCCATTGTGGTGGCAATGTGGGTGCTCGCATCTTGGGCTGAGGGGTATGTTTGCTTGGTGAGCCTCCTCCTCCTCCTCCTCCTCCTCCTCCTCCTCCTCCTCCTCCTCCTCCTCCTCCCCTGGCCTCCTCCCCCCTCCCCCTCCCCCTTCTCCTCCTCCTCCTCCTCCTCCTCCTCCTCCTCCTCTTCCTCCTCCTCCTCATTCTCCTCCCCAATGCCATATCACCTTAGAAATAATTCTTCCCTGCCAGCCGCACGCCCACCAAGCCTGTCGGCAGAGCGGGCCAGGCGTTTCGCCTGAGACTTTCTCTCAAAACTTCGGATCCTGCAGCTCGAAATCCCACCAGCTCTGTCGGCAAAGGTGGTCTAGCGACATCTGTCTTTCCTCTTCCAAGATCCTCTTCCCTTCTGCGAGGCCTACCCCCCCCTAAGTTTTTTTCGGGGGATCGACCAGTGGCAGGGCGCCCAAGATGGCCCAATAGGGCTCCAAGAGGGACTCCTATGCTCCAAAATGGCCTCCGAGATGGCTCAAGATAGCCGGCGATGGTTCAAGATAGCTTCCGACATGCCTCCAAGAGGGCCGACGAGGGCCACGCGACGGTTCCAAGTGCTCTCGGAGCCCCCTGTGGACCCCCAAGAGGCCCAAATCATTGAAACCATCAAGGGAAATCAATGTTTGTTGTCTTCTTGCGTTTCGCGTCCGATGCGCCCGGGGGGGCCTAAAGATGGCCGCAGGATGGCCCAACTGAGGCCCAAGAGGCCCCGAATACGGCCCCAAAAGCGCCCAAGAGCGGCCCCAGAGCGTTCCAAGAGATCCCCAAGAAGCGATGTTGATGGCCCCAGGGGTGGGAGGCAAATTGCCCCCCCTCCCCCCACCCCCGCTTTGATCGACGCCCCACATCATGGCCCCAAGAGGCCTTACAGGGCCCCAAGAGAGCCCTCTAGAGGGCCCCCAGACGGCCCGAAGAGCATCCCAAAGTGCCCCAAGAGCGCCCAAGGAGGGCCCCAGGAGGCGGTCAACTTCCTCGTCCTCCTCCTCCTCCTCCTCCTCCTCCTCCTCCTCCTCCTCCTCCTCATCCTCCTTATACTCCTCGTCCTCGTCTTCCTCCTCCTCCTCCTCCTCCTCCTCCTCCCTCCTCCTCCTCCTCCTCCTCCTCCTCCTCCTTATACTCCTCGTCCTCCTCCTCCTCTTCCTCCCCCTCCTTTTCCTCCTTCTGCTCCTCGTCCTCCCCCTCCTCCTCCTCCTCCTCCTCCTGCTCCTCGCCCCGCCGCGGGCCCCAGGCATGGCCCGAAGAGACCGTCCACGACCGCCCTCCTTCCTCCACGGGATTTTTCCGTTCACCCTGGCT